AAATAAGATGTGATTCTAAATGAAATGCTTTAATATCCCCGCTATTCCCCTTGGCAGCTTCGCCTTCACCAAAGCTATAAATACTATCCATGGTCCATGGCTTCTAGCATTTTCTATTTATAAAGATGGCTCTTGTTTGTATTTATTTCACTAAAAGGGAAGAGTTACGTATAACTATAAAACGCCAGTGAAATGTGCATCAATTCATGAATTACAGCCTTTTAGCTTATAGGTGCTTTGTTCCAAGTCTAGAATGTGTATTCCAGTGTATTGTTATCATTTTCGTTGAGTATGGGAAAGCTTTGGCATTAAACAAGGGAAAAAAGATGTGTGAACAAAACTGCAGTTTACTCTTACCTCAAAGCCCAGTTCCGAAGGCCGGAAGCTTCAGAGACATTTTTGTTTCCAGTGTTCATGTTTAATTAAAAACCACATTCACAATTCTATTATCCCATCTGTGGATCCAAAAAAGGAATTCATATAAGAGAAAATTAACATGATTATTAAAACTACACTGCCTTTATAATAGGTATAATAAAGTAACAGTTTTCCGCAGTCTGAGTAGGAGTTTCTTATATGATAACTAAAATATTAGCAAATTTAATGGATTTTTCTTACCTGCACACTTGTTTTTAAAACATATTTCATTGGATTTAGATGATTATAATGATATTTGCTAAGGAAATAGATGCCAGTAACAGGCTGTTACTTTTTATTGGCAGGCATCAGAACTTGAAGTTCTATGGTCTTGACTTTGTTAGATGATGAGTCAATGTATTTTAATTCTATTAACAGCAGAAAATTGGCTGGGCATGTTGACTTATGCCTGCAATCCCAGCACTTTGAGAGGCTGAGGTGGTCAGATCACTTGAGGTCAGGAATTCGAGACCAGACTGAACAATATGGTGAAACCCCTTCTCTACTAAAAAATATAAAAATTAGCCAGGTATGATAGTGCATGCCTATAATCCCAGCTATTCTGGAGGCTGAGGCAGGATAATCGCTTGAACCCAGGAGGTCGAGATTGCAGTGAGCCGAGATCATGTCATTGCACTCCAGCTTAGGCAACAGAGCCAGACTCAGTCTCAAAAAAAAAATGCAAAAAAACAAAGAGCAGAAACTTCGTCCCTGTGACTCTGCTTTAGTTCTTTTTTGTTGTTGTTATTTGTTTTTCTTTATTTTGAGACAAGGTCTTATTCTTTTGCCCAGGCTAGAGTGCAGTAGTGCAATCTTGGCTCACTGCAGCCTCTGCTTCCCGGGCTCAAAGTGAGCCTTCCACCCAAGTTTCACCACTAGCTGGGACTATAGATGGGTGCCACCATGCCTGGCTAAGTTTTGTATTTTTTGTAGAGAGGGGGATTTGCCATGTTGCCCAGACTGACTTTAAACTCCTGGGCTCATGTGATCTGCCTACCTCAGCCTCCCAAAGTGCTGGGATTACACTGTGCCCAGCCTGTTTTAGGTAAATCTATGGCAGATGGTTTCCTTTTTAAATAACATTTCTTTTAATTTGTTTACCTTTGTAAGAGTACTTTCAGAGGAAAGATTACTGTCCTTTGTTCTTTCTACAAGGTACATAGTTCTTGATGATGTGCCATTTGTCATGACTATCATACACAACAGCCGAGGCTGTTTTGGGAGGGTGTTTCCTGAATTCTCCCAGAAAATGTAGGCCTGTCTCCCATTGGCATCTGAGGGCAGGTTGGGACAGCCGAGTGGGTGCTGCATGCAGGGTGTATCCATTCAAAGAGCCCTATTCTGGGATACGTATCTGCTTCATATGCGACAAACATTACATGTAGCTGCTGGTTGACTATCGTTTCTTGAATCATGTTTCCTAAAGCTGTCTAGTGAGCATGATAGAAAAATATATTCATGTAGAAAGAAATATGTGAGATAAATTAAGTTAAAAGAAAAAGACATGTAGTGCTTGATTCAGCAGCACATATACTAAAACGAGAGCAATCCAGAGAAGATTAGCAAGGATGACACGCAGATTTGTGAAGAGTTCTCTATTAAAAAAAAAAGGCATGCAGCAAATTTAACTTGAATATAAAAACTTGCTAGCGGGTCAAAATCTCATGTAGTTACTTCACTCAGCACAGAATGCAGTGTTCTGGCTGCTCTTAGCAGTTACTACAATATCACCAGATGCTTTCCAGTGCTACCGTCTTATGCCCTGTACTCTGTATTGCAGTTTATGGTTGAAATATACATTATCTTTTGTTATATAGGAATATGTCACATAGTTTGCATGAATGTACAGTATACATATACATACACATATACACATATGTAAATAAAATATATATGAAACACATTTTATGCATACTCTTTCATGATAATTTCAACTTGCCTATTATTTTCATCCTGTTCTCTCTTTTGTTTGTTTTACACAACTTTATTATTTTTTCCTTTCCAATTCTTTACTTTTTGCATAATTATCTGTCTTGGTAATTGTGTAGTTTTATCTTTTGATCATTTAAACAGGATATCAACATTTTTTTCTCCAGATTCTCAGTGCTTAGGCACCATTAAAAATCCCTTTTTTATGTGTTGAAGTAAATAAATGCTCAAAATGCATGACTTGTTTTGATAATGTACGTATTCAGACATGCATACTATTTATACACATTCTATAAAGCTCAATGTGTAACTGATTTCATGATACATGCATAGAAATTCCAAATCTATTACAAAGATTAAGAGAATGTGCTATCAAACACATAGTTTTCTTTTCTTTCTTTTTATGTATTATTGCCTGTCACTCATCTGTCAAAATCCACAACAATATTTTTGCAGATTGCCCCACGTAATCCCAGGAGGCTGATAAGCTTTGTTGACTAGGATGATTCTAGGAAGACAGTGACCTAATAAAACCTTGGGGCCCACTTACTTGATCTTTGTAGATTGTGCCTCTTCTTACTTTTTAGTTTCTCATCCCCTCCATATTATGTCTCTTTTCTGTAAAGAATTTGATGTCTTAAAGTGACAGTATTTTAGGTAGGAATACACAGGTTTTGTTTTTTGTTTTTGAGACAGAGTCTAGCTCTGTTGCCCAGGCTGGAGTATAGTGGTGTGATCTTGGCTCATTGCAGCCTCTGCCTCTTGGGTTCAAGTGATTCTCCTGCCTCAGCCTCCTGAGTAGCTGAGACTACAGACATATGCTACCACGCCTGGCTAATTTTTGTATTTTTTGTAGAGATGGGATTTGTGCCGTGTTGGCCAGGCTGGTCTCTAATTCCTGACCTCAGGTGATCTGCCCGCCTCTGCCTCCCAAAGTGCTGGGATGAATCCACCACACCTGGCCTAGGTACATAGATTTTACAAAGTTAAATAAGAGTCGAGAAACTCTGAAGATTTAACCAAGCATCAGGAGTGAGGTGAGGATGGGATGAATGCTGTATTTAGCCAGTGGTTCTTAAACTTTAGTGGCATCAGAACTACCTGCATGGCTTGTGAGACCAGGTTGCTGGTCCCCACCTCCAGAGCTTTTGATTCAGTGAGACTGGGATGGGCCCCAGTATCTGCATTGCCATGAGTTCCCAGGTGAAACTGATCCTGCAGATGTGGGACCTCACTTTGAGAAGCACTATTCTAGGATCACCACTTTTGGTATTTTCAGGTGAGGCAACTGAGGTTCAGACAGGGGAAGGGGCCTGCTTAAGATCTCACACCTGTAGTGAGTTAGCATCCAGGCTAGAACGAGGACCAGGTCTCCTGGCTCTGGCCTCTGATGTTCTCTGAGGATTGTTCTTTGACCAGTGAAGGAAAAACCCTTCCTTACCTTCTGAACAACTGAAGGCAGTGTGGAAAATCACGTTTCCACCCTTCCAACATTCCTGTGAGTAGGCAACACTGTCTCTGGCTGGCCTGTCTCTTTCTTGGCATGTCCTGTGGAGAAGGTGGGCTTTGGTGCTCTATACTGTTGCTTAAAGTTACCTGAATATATTTTAGCCTCTTCACTTCCATATCCAATTTAATAATTATTCATGGGACGTTTGTCTGTCAAGTTGTGACCATTTAGAGATTAATATTAATGCCATCATTTTTCACACGTGGCCTATTAAACTCAGGCCTATATTATGTCAAGAAAAAGTAAGTTAAAGACAGCATAGGATGCAAGAATAACCACAGGAAAAATAGAAATGGTGGAATTTTTGCTTGGATCTACGATTTTGCTTTCATTTCACTCCAATTTCAGTGAAATATTATTTCACCAAATGAGAGTTTTCTGCAATATCCTCTAGCCTATACTTTCAAGGTGTGAAATATCTTATTCTTGGCAAATTCAAATTAAAGTAAAAATGATTTTGATTGCTAATTGTCCAAATGAAGGCACTATGAAATGGGTTTCATAAGAATATTAATGTGTTGAATTTCACTGGCTGAGAAGAATAACAAGAATTGTGTTTTTGTGATCCTGAGTATTGGTTTAATTTCAGTGATTGTATATTGGGTTGCAGATTGTCACAGTGGCATTGATGGACCATAAAATGCAAATAATGTCACCTGATAATTACATATTAGAACTGGGTACCAAAAGAATTGACCTTGAATGATTGAGGGAATTAAAATAAGTACTTTCCCCCCAAAATATTGGGGAAGAAAGCTAGCTCACTTAAAGTTGGACTAAACTCAATGCAATAATTCTTGACTAAGGGACTTCTGTACCTAAGGAATGGACTATTCTAGGTGGGTTTTGGATCTGCATTGGCCTCAAGGACCAGTGTATGAATTGTAATGTAAATGGATGGAGAACACTTGTGCATTTATAAATGTGTACATAACAATAAATATTTATTGGAAGAATTATTGATTGAATGATGAAGGCAGAAACTAAAATTCGACACTGATGTGATTATTTTCAGTTTCATGAGAGCAAAGGCACCAGGTCACAGTGTATGAACCATGATATAATCTGTCATTTTTGGTCAATGGAGGAATGGAGTTCAGGCCACAATTCTGATCCTTAACGCTGCCTTCTGTTTTTTTTTTAGCGTTTGGTGGAGGCTGCAGAAGAAGCACACCTAAAACATGAATTTGATGCAGACTTACAGGTAACTGATTATAGTTTGAGTTACATTGTTTTGTGTGTTTCCCGCCAAAGGAAAAGTACTGGGTTTACTAGGAATACTGGTTTTTCAGTGATTGGGAGGGAAAGGCTGTTGGACGGATCGTATAGAGTTGGAATAAATGTGCCTACTTTTGACAGGATTCTTAAGCAATCCTCAACCATTTTCTAACAATGACAGTTATAATGGGTGATGCCAAACACTCACATGTGTGTAATCAGATTTCAATAAACTATTCTCCAATTTAGGGGGAGTTAAATTGGTCAGCTAACAATAATCACCAGATCTCTCCATGCTAAATAGATAAGATAGCAGAATATATCTAAATCCCACTTGCTGGCTGCATTTTGGAATGCAGGTGACTGAATGCAATGCTGTGGTGGAGCTATCCTTGAATTGATTGTTAATAATATTTAAAAATTAAATCATTCACTGACTTGAGATTCAAACATCCATTTAATTAATTTCTGGCAGTAGATCTTGCACCTGATTATGGCGTGACTGTGTCTGATTGAGAAGGATTTTGATGTTGATGTATATAGAAAACATAGGAAGGGGCAACAAGTGAATTAAATAATGCTTGGATGTTTCAGCTGGGTGTGGTGACTCACGCCTGTAATCTCAGCACTTTGGGAGGCCGAGGCAGGTGGATTACTTGAGGCCAGGAGTTCAATACCAGCCTGGCCAACATGATGAAAGCCTGTCAATACTAAAAGTACAAAAATTAGCTGGGCATGGTGATGGGCACCTATAATCCCAGTTACTTGGGAGGCTGAGACAAGAGGATTGCTTGAACCTGGGCAGCAGAGGTTGCATTGCACTGAGATTGAGCCACACTGCACTCCAGCCTGGATGACAAAGCAAGCCTCTATCTCAATCAATCAATCAATCAAACTTGGAGATTCCTTTGCGTTCCCCTAAAAGAACTTTTATCTAGATTTGCGCTTTGCCTTTTGCGGCCTTTCCTCACCACTAGGAAAACAGAAGGAGCAAATCTTAAAGTTTGAGGTTTGCTAGACATATTTCTTTTAGTGGCATGTGGTCACAATTAGGAAATAGTGTTTACTTTCCTATGTTTCCATTTATATGGGAAATATAAAGACAGACATAAAACTTTAAAAACAAAAAAGATGGCAATTCCAAAGTTGGCTGCTGGCTGCGTGTCTCTTTTGAAGATGTGTCCTTGTCATCACCCTCATCTGTGTTTTTTGCTTTGTGGGCAGAACAATGCATATTCAAGTGGGGTGATCAAGTAAACTTTAATTAAGGAAATATTTTCAAACGTGTAATCAGGATTATGGGAAACCAACACACAACGGTGTTCAGATATACCAGCAGGCAATGGTGACATACCCCAGAGCTAGCCGAACATCTGGCCTGAAGAGAGGAAAACTAGGGTTTCCAGAACTCAGGGAAGATGGCTACATGGAAAAAGTCTGACAGAGGAATATAGCCATCCGTGGTGAGCTGGAAAGGGTGAAATTTGGGGTAATGATACCCCAATGACATTCTCTTGGTTTCTTATTTTCTTGCCAGTACTCCCCATGGGCTGAATCCAGCTGTTGGTCTGGTTGGTGTAGTTCAGCTCAGTCATTAAGCTGGGTGAGGAAGGTTGAAGAATTATTCTGGAGGAGCAAACAGAAAATATCAGGTTTATCATCAGCAGTCCTTTTAGGCATAATACCCAACATTTGAAACAAACAGAGCCAGAGGTGTCGCTAAGCATAAAAGGGGAATGTGGAGAAGCCCTGGGGATGGTTGGAAACATTGGGAGAGGAATGGGCAGCTGGCCCAGCTCTTTGAGCAAAGCTGCTGAGAAGGGACAGAAGATAGTGAGAAGAACCTTGAATATAGCAAGATGTACCTCACCTTCCTACAGCCATACCCACTTCTCACATGACTGTTCCACAAAGATCCAGGGGGCACTTACTGGTCACATTTGTCTTCAGTGAGCCTGATCTTCAGAGAGCTTGGGCTTTGTAGAGTGGGCCAGAGGGATTTAATGGCAGCGTCAAGAAGCACTTTGTCAGGTGTGAAGGTTATAAGAGCTCTTGAGCGCATTGCTTAGGGAAACTGTCTCAGTTTTCGCAGAAGTTCCTGAAGGCTTTTCAGGAATATTCTGATTTTAAGTGACAGAAACTCAACTCATATCAACTTATCTAATAACTAAGCTTATAACTTATAACTTAGCTTATAACTAAGCTAAGTTGAATAAAGGAATAAAATAAGAATCTGTGAGTCCACCTGATAATAAATAGACAGACAGATAGATTAAAAAATAGACAAATGAGGGAAACAGAATGGAATGCCAACTAATGCATTTGGAAGAAATGATTGAGTTAGAAAATTATGGTAATTGATTGAGGTAAGAATCTTCAATGGATGCTAAAACTAGTTGGTAAAATTTTGGTGAAGAACAGGACACTTACAGTCTCAAAGTATTTGCCCACAAGTTATTTATCAATTACAAAGGGAAAAAATAGCAATTGTATTGTGGAGAAACCTGGCAGGCACCATTTTAAACAAGTAATCAAAGTTAACGTCACCAATAATGAGACAAAGTGACATCAAGTGCTTCCACATGGGATGACCCAGAAAAATATAACACACGTATGTGGAATTTTTGCCCAAAAGGTATAGCTTGACTGTAATCATGATAAAACATCAGACAAATCTAGATTGAGGGACATTCTACAAAGTAACTGGATGGACTCATCCTCAGAAATGCCAAGATCAAGAAGGAGAAAGAAATGTTGAGGATTTGCTCCTAATTCAAAGAGATGAAGGACACATGACTACCATGTGCAGTGTGTGGTCCTGAACTGGATCCTGGACAAACAAAGTTTGAATATGGACTGTGCAGTAGATGACAACGTTGTATTAACATTGGATTGTCAGATTTTTATCCCTGTATGTGATTATGTTAAAGAATGTCCTTATTCTTTGACCTTTTCTGGCTTCATTGGTTCAACAGGAAAAAGCGAGTGTGCAGGAGAGAGAGAGAAACATTGGAAGTGATGACTGTTTTGTAAAATCTGTTATTTACGTCTTATGTGGTCAGCTTTACTGAGAGATCAGTTCTTTAGTAAGGGTTGGTGGCATGGGGCATGGGAGGGGACAATGTGGTTGACTTTAGGGGATTACTTATCCTTCAGCAAATGAAAAATGTTTTTTGGTTTTAGTTTAGCTAACATAGAGACATTATTTTTTGTCCATCTGAAGCTATTGTTATTTTCCAAGAGTGTTCTGACTTCCTGATACTGAAATTTTGCAGTAAAATTCTGGTGTAGCACAAGTGATTCCCTCTGTCAAAGAAGGTGCTCTGATTGTGAATGCAGCATTGGCATCTCTCTTGAAAAAAACGAGGCACCAAGAAAATAAGTCTTTAGTTTTTGTTCCCTTGGGAATAAGGAAGAGGAGCCAAGATTTTTCCTCCCCAGTCACCTGTTCTGTATGAGTACAACAAAAGCATCAGAGGGTACCATTGTGGTCTGAACACAAGAGTAGATGTTGAAATACTCCGTCAATATGACAGTGCCATTCACTATCTGGTGCTCCGACCTCAGTGAACTCCTCTCTGGGTCAGAGTAAACCACATGCATTTTGGTGGAGACCTATGAAAGAGAGGCCTTTGATGAAGTGAATGTGCTTGGAAGAATTTGTCTTGGCTTAGATGAAGGTTTTGAAGCTACTGAAGCTTCTAGGCTATTAAGTGCAAGTCTGTTAACAGCTTGGGTGTCAGCCCCCTTGCTATTACCAAGGCAGCAGGTCTGTGTCCCGGCTCTGAATTTATTGCTATGATGGTCCATTAGAGCTGATCAATTGTTAATCTGGGTTCTGCTGACCTCTCAGCAACCCCTGCCAGATGATTGTTTCTATCAAAAAAATTTCAGACTATCATCTGCTCACTGTGAAATAGCACTGGGAAGGACCCTACCCTATTAGCTCAGGAGGAGCACAGGGAGCTGGAAGTCTGTTTTCGTACAGAAAAAAAAAGTGATTTTGCAAAATTTCCTAATCTGTGTAGTTTTAACTCATATATATCTTAGCTTCCTTCTTCCCCAAACAGAAAAGAGATGATGGATCTGCCTCTTGTCTCACTTTAGACCAGAGATGTTGCGTCACTGCAACGTTCATGTGCTTCAAAGTGAAGGATTTGCTTTTCATTGGCAAAATAATCAAAAGTTACTAAAAGAAAGTTATAACTCCTTTATTATCACGATTTTATTTTCCATTTAAATTCCTCTTACAGTCTCTCCAGAAGTTTAACATTTGCCCTATGACCTTATGGCTTTGACATCTACAGACCTCTCTGTAAAGTCCTTAATATGGCATTAGATTGTTAATTCTTTTTTTAAAAAAAAAATCTATCTATCTATTTTTATTGTACTTTAGGTTCTGGGGTGTATGTGCAGATCATGCAGGATTGTTGCAAAGGTACACACATGGCAATGTGGTTTGCTACATCCATCCCCCGTCACCTAGATCTCACATTTCTCACCATCTTATCCCTCCCTGACCTCCCCCCACCCTGCTGTCCCTCCTTTGGCCCCCCACCAACAGACCCTAGAGTGTGATGCTCCCCTCCCTGTGTCCACGTGTTCTCATTGTTCATCACCTGCCTATGAGCGAGAACACACGGTGTTTGATTTTCTGTTCTTGTGTCAGTTTGCTGAGAATTATGATTTCCAGATTCATCCATGTCACGACAAAGGACACAAACTCGTCATTTTTTATTGCTGCATAGTATTCCATGGGGTATATGTGCCACGTTTTCCTTGTCCAGTCTATTGTCGATGGGCATCTGGGTTGATTCCAGGTCTTTGCTATTGTAAACAGTGCCGCTCTGAACGTATGTGTGCATGTGTCATTATAATAGAATGATTTATAATCCTTTAGGTATATACCCAGTAATGGGATTGCTGGGTCAAATGGAATTTCTATTTCTAGGTCCTCGAGGAAGTGCCACACTGTCTTCCACAATA